AAATGGGGGGGGGGGGGGGGGGGGGGGGGGGTGCTGGCGGGACGATAATTCAGTTACATATTATCCTCGGGATGAAATACTTAGTGGATTGATCAGCACATAGGCACGCATGCACGTTTTTTTCGGTCGCATGCATGCGTTTTTTTTTTTCAGGGATGGTGCGATGGTGATGGGACAATGCGAAGAAGAAAATCACTCTTGCGATGTTTCCGCAGCATTGATGGACTTGCTATAAGGTAGGTGACAAGCACGTGCAGTTTTTAGGGTCCGCTTTTTCGTTTTTTTGTTTGTTTTTTCTTGATCTGACTGACGTCCGTCGAACGTCTTTGTGGGGTTCTCGGCAGGGACGCGGAGAAAGTCGACAAGATGGCGGCGTACGTCGCCCGCAACGGCGGCGGGTTCGAGGACATCGTGCGGGAGCGGGAGAAGGACAACAAGATGCTGTCGTTCATCTTCGCGGGGGAGCTCCACGAGTGTGTAGTCTATGTCTTGTGTCGTTGGTGTTCGTGTTGCCTGTCTGTGCATCTCTACCTTTTATCTGTCCATCCGCATGCGCGTGCGTGGGTCGGTGTGTTTGGTGCTCTTTCTGCGTTATCTATTTTCTTGTCGATCCAGGTGTTGCTTTTTTTGTTGTCGTGGCGCCGCGCTTGCTGCCTCCTGCATTGTGTTCCGATTTGTGGCGCGTATGATTTTGTTTTTTCACCGGGGGAGCTCCACGAATGAGTGTATCATTGCCGTCGGCGTTCGTTCTGCATTAAAATGCCTTTTTGTTGTCCATCCGCATCTTTATTTTTTGTTACGACCCGGCTCTTGTTGTTGTGTTGTGAGTTGTGGTGCGTATGATTGTCTTTTTTTTTTTGGCGAGGGAGCTCAGCGAGTGGCTTCATGTGCGTATTTTTGTGGTTTTGGGGTTCGTTCTGTATATACCTGTACCCTTGCCTGTACATCCGCAAGCGTGTGTGTCTGTGTCTTTGGCATTCGTGCTGCCATATCTGTGTACCTTTTCCGTCCATCCGCACGCGTTCTTTTGTTTGTGGTGTGGCGCCACGCTTGCGATCTTCAGAAGCCGAATTCAAACCATTCTACTCCTGGTCAGCACTGACTAGTCTGTTTGTTTGATTCCGGCTTCTTTTTTTTCCCCCCTCGCAATTGTGTTCCGAGTTGGTGCGCGCATGATCTCGTCTTGTGTTGGCGCGGCGCCTCGTCTTGTAGGGGATTCGCGACCCCGCGCACGCCTCCGTCGTGCCAAACCCTTCATTCATGCTAACGAGTTTTCGATCCCCGACTCGAATCTGCGGCTCAGGTACTACAAGTGGTCGTTGCACTGCGCGAGGATGGGCTTCTCGCCGGAACAGCGACATGCTCAGATAGGGGTGAGTGGAATAAAAATCTGGACATCCTACTCCACCAGTAAACCAGTGATCCCCCCGTATTTTCGGCTTTTTGTTATCTGGGACGACATCAAGGGCGAAGTGGGGACCAGGAACAACGATTTCTCGTTTTTTTCATGGGTGTGGGCAAAGCTGGCTGCCCAAGGAGAGGTAGTAGTGACATCGACATCAGGAACATCGAGCCCCCCTGAACAACAGCGCGTGTTTTTTGTGCATCCCGTGCTTTATTGCTGTATTGGTGTATTGTGACGTAGACATAGGAGCATCGAAAACCCCTGAACAACCCGTCGTTTTTGGTGTTCGCGTATCAAACAAGTTGTGTTGTATCATCACCACAAGCTGATGGAGGAGCACCCAAAAGGAGCACCGAGACCCTCTGAACAACAACGGCTTTTTTCCATGCGTGCGGCTTCTCGTGCATGAACACCAGTTGTATCATCGATACCCCCTGAACAGCAGCGCTTTTTCTGATGCTCGCGGTGCCTCTTGTGTGAACACCAGTTGTATCACCACCACAAGCTGATGGAGAAGCAGGCGAAGGAGCAGGCCATACAGAGGATGGTAGCCGCCGGGGAGATGGTGCCGGGGGCTAACCTCACTCTCGACGCGCAAAACGAGCAGCAGGTAAGCTATGCACGTAACCGCAAAACAAGGCCTCCACAAAAAAAAAAAAACGCGTTTTGTA